ACAAGAACACAAGGGAAGGACTAATTGAAAGGTGAAGAATTTACATACTGATTCCCCCCTCCTCATCGACGGCGTCCACGTCACCCTCATCGACGCCAACCACTGCCCCGGCGCCGTCATCTTCCTCTTCTCCATCCCCCGCCCCCCCGCCGCCCCCCTCAGGTACGTCCACACCGGCGACTTCCGCTTTTCTAATACCCTCATTTCGGAGCCCGCCCTCGCTCCCTTCGTCGGCGCCGACGCCGTGTTTCTCGACACCACATATTGTAACCCTAAATTTAAATTCCCCTCGCAAGAGGAGTCTGTTGAGTATGTTCTCAATGTTGTGGAAAACGTTGAGCGTGAGTGTGAGGGTAGTAGTGACAACGTTTTGTTTCTTGTTGCTACTTATGTTATTGGAAAGGAGAAGATTTTGCTTGAGCTTGCACGCAGGTTTAAGAGGAAGATACACGTGGATGCTAGAAAGATGGAGGTTTTGAGCGTTCTTGGATACGGGGAGAGTGGCGAGTTTACCGAGGATGGGAAGGAGAGTAATATTCATGTGGTTGGGTGGAATGTGTTGGGGGAGACTTGGCCATACTTTAGGCCTAATTTTGTTAGAATGAAGGAGCTTATGGCTGAGAGAAGAGGGTCCTACTCCAGGGTTGTGGGGTTTGTTCCGACTGGGTGGACTTATGAAGTGAAGAGGGGTCGGTTTGCGGTTAAGTCCAAGGATTCGTTTCAGATTCATCTTGTGCCGTATAGCGAGCACTCGAACTATGATGAGCTTAGGGAGTTTGTCAAGTTTTTGAAGCCCAAGCGGGTTGTTCCAACGGTGGGGTTGGATGTTGAGAAGAGTGACAGCAAACATGCTGACAAAATGAGGAAGTATTTTGCTGGGTTGGTTGATGAGACTGCCAATAAGCAGGAGTTTTTAAGGGGGTTTTGTCAAGCTCCTGGTGATGTGGGTTTTGAGGTTGAGAAGGGTGTTGATGCAAAGAAAGAAGTCAAACAATCAGAGACAGAAGGTGGTGGAAGTATTAATCCAGATGTGGCTGTGAGTTTGTCCACTTCTATGAGAGAAGCTTGTACACAAGATCCTGCTTTGCTGAATGATGAAGAAAAAGAGAAAATCATTCAAGAACTGAGTTGTTGTTTGCCCTCATGGGTCACCCGAAACCAGCTGTTAGATCTGATTGGCATCTCAGGGACCAATGTTGTTGAAGCTGTTTCTAATTTCTATGAACGTGAAACTGAATTTCATGAGCAAGTGAATTCCTGTAAAGCTCCTGTTTCAACATCCAAGTGCTGCACATTAAATGACACGGATTCACTTAAAAAACCTTGCCCTAATACAAACGACGCTTCCAAAAATATTAACATTTTTCCAAGTCAAGACACGACTAAAATAACTAACCTGAAGCGTACAGTACCAAGTCCCATTTCTCCTGCCAAAAGGAAGAGAAGTAATGAAAGTAAGCAAAACAAAATAGTCAAAACAAAAGCCAAAGCAAAATCTGAACCAAGTGGTGCAAAGCAGCCGACAATTACAAGATTCTTCAGTAAAGTGATGCCTGAAGCGCCTGGCAGTACTCAAACTGATAGTATTGGACCAAAGCTTGAGCAAAGTTCCAAAGTTGTAGACTTATTGCCGACTCATGAAGAACAACAGTACAAGGATGAGATTGATCAATTCATGCAAATAATAAATGGGAACAAGTCACTAAAAGAATATGCCATCACTATAATTGAGAAGACGAAAGGAGATGTCAATAAGGCATTGGACATATATTACTGTAATGCTAATAATCTTGGTGAAGGTGAAATATCATGTCAAGTGGAGAGCAAAATTGATAGACCTGTAGTGAAGAAGCATGCATCAGAGGAATTGAGAATTATACCTGATATATCTGAGCAGAAAGTGTTAAAAGATAATGTAGATGCTGCTCATCTATCTCTACCACCTGATAAATACAACCCTAAAGAACATGGTTTGTTTTAATTCCCTCCCCCAGAGATACATTGGTTTAGAAGTTGTTTAACCCACTGCATTTACTTTTATATTTACTCTTTATATTCACGTTAACATATCTATACAAATGGCATAAATGAGCAGCATGTTGGCGTGATGGACAGCCTGCACCATATCTACATATTGCACGAACCTTCAACCTTCTTGAGGGTGAGAAAGGAAAGATAAAAGCTACTTCATTGTTATGCAATATGTTCAGAAGGTTCCTTTGTTACTAATCACACTCTGTATTATCCATTTCCCCCTCATTTTTATGAAATAATGAAACAGTTTTCCCATAATTGGCTGATTGAGGAACATTACTTGCATGCAATGTTTTTATCGCACAGTTTGTTGATCTTGTCTCCAGCTGATGTGCTTCCTGCTGTGTATCTATGCACAAACAAAATTGCTGCAGACCATGAAAATAAGGTAGTTTTTTTTTTTTTTTTTTTTTTTTTTGTTGATAATTTGGATTTAATCATCTTTATCATAAATGAGAATGAAACTTAAACTGAGTAATTCAAAATAAATAAAAATAAAACCCTTATTCTGTTCCTTTGCTCTTATATTTGCTGTGTTAAGTTTTAAAAGACTAGGGCCTTAGTTTGTTAATGTACACATCAACAATTTGCTATGTATGGCATTTTAGCCCTTCATTGCTGCTTGAGGGTGACTCTTTGTATCAAAACTGCCCATTCTGCACACAAAGTTTTCACTATTTTTTTTATTCATGGTAATTACAATAACAACATCAGGGTTTAAACCTAAGACTCGGTGCATTCTACTCCAATCTCCCATTTTTTTCACTTTTTCTTTGAATTGCTATTTCCTTTTTTTCTTCCTTCATTTTCTTTGGATCACAACAGCAAAGAGTGTAGCATCACACTAGTGATTTATTTATTATTTTATGGTAAATAACAAATGAACATGTAGGAAGCGGGGCTCACTATGTCACTCTGCTGATTCTGCATGATTTTTCTTCTCTTGAAGAGAAGGGATTTCATAGTGCTAATTTAAAAATACCACCGAAATCCAGCAGCTAATTTAAAGCTCACATTTTATTTATACAATAAAAATCCCCTTCTGCAAACATGCATTTTTGTTTCTGGTTGTTAATTATTTCAAAGTATAAGAATCTACTGTATGGCAATATGAGTTATTATGCTCTTACGAAGTTCCTTATGTCTATTAATATCAGGAACTAAATATTGGTGGAAGTTTAGTCACTGCAGCACTTGAAGAGGCATGTGGAACAAATCGATTGAAAATAAGGGAGATGTATAACAAATTTGGTGATCTTGGTTGGATGACTATTCTCATAGTTTTTGACTGTGTTTACTAAACCTGTTCAATCTCTGAGGATTTTTGAATAACTATGAAATAACATGCTACTTTTAAAGGTGATGTTGCTCAGGAGTGTCGTCAAACACAGAGATTGCTTGCATCACCTACACCACTTCTAATTAAGGATGTTTTCTCTGCACTACAAAATATAAGGTATTATAATCACTCTGTTTCTTATTGTAACTTATGATCTTACTAGGGATCTAATTTACCACCAATCCTCAAATGTTTAGTTTAAAGTTGTTGCTAGACTTAGGTTCACAGAGAACCCTATATGTGGTAACTTGTAATTCACTTGAATTATTTTAAAAGATAATTCAAATGGTTCTATAGCTATTTAGTTAGTTAAATTTTAGTTTTGCTTTACGTGCTCTTATGTAGTGTTCATCAGTGTACAAACAGGCAGTGGAAGCACGTCTCGGAAGAAAGGCATCATTGTTCATCTCATGCGTTCCTGCCGTGAGAAGGAGATGAAGTTTCTTGTTCGGACCTTGGTAAATATCTGATTTTTATTTTGAGGTGCATAGAAGTTTGGTGGTGGGAAGTTTATCCCATTTCAAGGTCAAGGCATGCCATAAGGCTCAATAATGGCTTACAGTGGCACTTGCAGATTGTTATGGTTAAGTATTTATCCTTAGTTCCTTACTAGGCATGCCATAAAGCTCAATAATAGCTTATGGTGGCACTTTCAGATTGTTATGGTTAAGTATTTATCCTTATTTTAGATAAATTTCATCAAGGTATGTGTATACTGCTTTAGCTGGGTCTGTGGAAAAGAAGATTCTAAGGAATAAGGAATTTAAATTTAGGTTTTATCTGATCTCAAAACAGATGAGAATGTCATTATTTTTTTTGCTACAGTGCAGGCATCACATGCTTGTTATTGTGATCATAATCATGCGAGAATGGTGATGTTCTCGGACCAATAAAGAATAAGAGGTTGACCAAGAATGAACCACAATTTATGAATTGACCCAGCCTTTGCCTCAATTATTCTTTAATCCACTAGTCTGCAATAAATCACGTAGAATAAATCTTCAAGTAATCATCCTTGTTTCTAGGGTCTCCAACTTGATGCCCACCTTCAAGTTGGAGATCTGACAGTTTCAATATTCCCAACACTGTTTAATGAATAATGACTTAAAAATGCTATTCATACTTCATGTTGTTACCAAAGTCAAAAGACACAGTTATGGACATGAATTTCTTGGACCACCCTTTACTGTATAAAATAAAACCCTAAACAGTTTTTAAATTACCATTCCCTAAATTTATCTGTCTTCTATTATACACCTTTTTCCATTATATGTTGCTAAGTCAGTTCGGCATCCATGTATGGATAAATTGTATTGTTTTCTCTCTCTACACATTGCATTTCAATATTTACCGTTCTGAATGTATGTACATAATGGTGGCTAGTGGTATGCTTCTCAAATGCCTTTATATATAGATATATTCTTATCCTTGTATGCCAGAGTCCTGGTTTTCAACTTAGCTTGTTATGTAGGTCAGGAACCTAAGGATTGGGGCAATGCTTAGAACTGTGTTGCCTGCATTGGCTCATGCTGTTGCTATGAATTCTTGCCCTACTTTGCACAAAAAAGGAACTGCAGAAAATTTGAAGGAGAAACTTCAGGTTCATTCTGCAATCATTTGCTTTTGCCTATGACCAAGTTTATGTATTAATGTGCTATTTTTTTATCCTGTCTACATTTTGATGGTTGATATTATTTTCTGTCATAATAATGTCTTTTCATCTGCCATTTTCTATACAGAGGAACTTTTAAGTTAAATGGGATAATAGGAGATTTTATTACTCTGAGAAAAAGGGAATATATTAGAAATTAGAGTATAAGATAAATTTTTGGAGAATATATGTAGGAAAAAGCATGAATAACACATAGGGCATTCTTAGAAGTGTTTGTAGCTCACTTAACACTTGCTAAAATGCACTTAATGTTCACATGTATTGGTTTCTAGGAAGTTGCAGCACTTGTTATAATCCAGGAAATAATCTTCACTAATTCCATGAAGAGAATATATATGAGTGATATGACAAATCTATATACCACATTATACAAGAATAAAAAGCTTCCCTATTAAATCTTCCATAGAGAAAGGAAAAGAAAATACCTGATGATCAACCAGAATGCACATCAGTTGTGTAAAGTTTGCCAATGCCTCCTGTTCTGTCTGTTTAATTCTTTACTTGCTCTGAATTAGTGGATGCTGAAGAGAATGTGATTTCCAAAGGTAAATGCCATAAACCATTAGCTAGGCAAGTTAGCATTTTTGGACACCAAATTACCATCCCCAACAATTATGTCTAATAGGAATTCAATGGCAGAACTTCTTAAATATTCAAACACTATGCTCTGACAAAGTAGCAGCATAAATGGGGCAGCGTCACCAGAACTTTGTCTTTATTCCTGCGAAAAACTGCGAAACATGTAATAATTTCATCAAATTCAGAGGATTAACCTAGGTTTATAAGAGCCAAAAGGCTTGTTTATCATGTAACCAGATTGTAAATTATGCAAAATAATTGTATAGTAGTTTTAAAACTTTAATGATTCAGTGAATATAGATTTGATTTCAATTTAGCATTCATGATTCCTTTTTCATTTATCTAATGTTTCTGTCGGCTCTAACTTGGAAGTCCTACCCTTCAGTTTTTCCCCCTTGGCATGTTTTTTTAAAATATGTGACTAGGAAGCTATAACCATTTTCCATAACAAACTTTGAGAAATATTTTATCAAAAGATGAAACTATGTGCAAGTTTGTGGGTTTTATTTGAGCTGCAATGCTTAGTTGGATTTAACACTAATAATTTGTCACAGGTCCACAAGGTGTATGGGGATTGTTTTGTGGGCAATAATTGCCCTAATAGAAGTGGCCATTTATATCTGTCACTGAATATTTTTCCTCACATCTCCAGGTTCTTTCTATGGAAGTTGTTGAAGCATATAACATACTGCCAAATTTGGTAAGGATTGAATATTTGAATAGTGAGTCTTGCTCGTACATAGATTTTCTGATTGAAGTCATAGCCATAGGTTTATCAAAGACTGACAATGTTGGATATATAACTATTACCAGTAATTTCTGTTACTGATCCAATAAATTTCTTTAAGTTCTGATTTTCTCTTGATGATCTGTTATATTTGTTTATTTTAATGCTGACTCATGAATGATAATCTACCTACTTTTGACCCTATATGAGCAATAATGCAGTCTCGTGGTGTATTTTCATTGTCATTTACTTTAATGCAGGATCTCATAGTTCCATCTCTCATGAACAAAGGCATCGAATTTTCAGTTTCAAATTTATCAATGGTTCCAGGAATCCCTATTAAGCCTATGCTAGCAAAGTATATACTATTTCATATATTGGCCATTTCTTGAATTGTTGGTGATTAGATTTCAAGTTTCTAGAACCTTTTCTTAACTTCAGGAGTCCCAACTAACTTTGTTAACACCCAATTGATTATTTTTTCCTTGTATTTTCCCTTTCTTCATAGGGTCACCAATGGTATTCCCCAAGCATTGAAGCTATTTGAAAATAAAGCATTTACATGCGAATATAAGTATGTTTTATTCTTTAATTAGTTATTTTTCCTTTTATCTTTATGCTCTTCATGTCTCTCTTGACATCTCATTGCATTTAACAATGGACATGCAGAAGAAAGTAGTCATTTAAAATTTTGGTGTGATATATTAGTGGGTGATATGAAGTTCAATGTGGGTCGTAATATAGTGATTTGATTTGCATCTCTTCGAAGTGCCTCAATTTTGTATGTAAATGCTATAGCAATCGAGCATCTTATTTGATAAATAGTGTACAGTTGCTGTGCATGTCTTTGCAGTCACGTCTGTACAAACATGTATGAAAATGTGTTATTAAGCTTCCTAGACTGAAACGTTTTTGCAAGATGAATAATATATATATATATAGAAAACATCTTTCTTGAAAGTATCTAAAAGAGAGTTAATCTTTTCAAACAAACTCGAAGGTAGGAATGCTGGTGCAAAGCAAACTCGTTAGATTGCTATTGAATTTTTCTTTTTTAACATTAGTTTCAAATTTTGAAATTCTATTTGGATTTGTAATTTGTTGATAGAATTTATAATTTGGAAATCATTGTATAAAAACAAGGTGGTAAGAAATGCAAAAGGTCAAATTGCTTCATGTATAATCAGTTTTAAGTGAAACCTGTAAAATCTCTTGAATAGATTTAAAATTCTGATAAAGTGTGTTTATTCTACAAATATCTTTCAATTTGGTGACTTTATTGATTATTGATATCCTCTTTGGCATTACATGTCTCTCTTATACAAGGATGAATTGCATTTACTTTTACACCACTTGTTTAATGGAGTTTAATGTAATTCCAGGTATGATGGTCAGCGAGCTCAAATTCACAGATTAGTTGATGGTTCAATTCGTGTTTTTTCAAGAAAAGGGGATGAATCAACTTCAAGATTTCCTGATCTAATTGACATAATTAAGGAATCCAGCAAGCCTGTTGCATCAACTTTCATAATGGATGCAGAAGTACAAACAACTTTCATGCCATAATATTCTTTATTTTTGTTCTTGTTGACTAAGCTCCAGTAATAAATCATAATTTATGGTTCTTCTACCTTTCAGATTGTTGGTATTGACAGAAAAAATGGATATAGGATTATGTCTTTCCAGGAGCTATCTTCACGTGAAAGAGGTGGCAGAGATATGTTGATTACTGCAGAGAGCATCAAGGTTGGACATTTGCATGCTTAAAAAGAAACTGAAAACCACTTATGCCTATAGTTATTAAACCTTAATTGAAAATTACCAAGCATATTTATTACCAAGTATATTACTGAATGAAGTTTGCAGTAATATCTGTCTTATGTTTTTTTAGATAAAAGAGAATTTATCAAGACAAGGAGAAAATATTAGAAAGGGAAAGGGGAATAGAATCCTCCTAAGCTGAAGAACTAAACAAAAAAAAACCAAGAAAAAAGAAAATCAATGAGAATTCTTCCCTATCACTTCTCGCCAAAGAAATCCAATTAAAAAGGCTACAAGGTTTATAGTAAATAGATGCCAAATGTCTAAACTTGTTCTAAAATCAGGTGATGCGCCAAATAAACCTCCTTGTTGCAAGAGTTCCATTCCAACCAAATACACCAAATCAAAGCAGAGATTGCTTATTTACCAGAAAATCTAGTCTCTTCATTTCTACTAAAATCATGAAGGCTAATGGTCAAAAGTTGGTCCAGGGTAACTATGCAAGAATAGGTGAGAAGCAGATTCCAAAAAAAGTACCACACATTATTACAACATTTCGGGAAAGACCTTTATGTAGCCTTTGGCCATAGAACATGTAATATGTCACTTACAATATTGTATTAATTTTATTATGTACTGCAGTTCAAAATAAAAGACTTGACCTTAGAGGCACCTTTGGATTTTCACAAGGGTTTGGCAAGAAGAAAATTATGCCTACTCAATAAATATCTCAACAAAATGCACATTAGTAATGGTTTTTTTTCTATGGAACATATCAAATCAAACTCAAACTCAATTGATATTTAACTTTTGGTTTTAATTAACTTAGATCAATACCAATCATATAACTATCATAGGAATATTAGATGATTCACTTCCTTTTAGAAGGGTGTAGTATGAAAACATTTGTTTATTTATCAAGAACATGGTAATTAGAGTGGGATTGGAGAGCTGTTTTTTTTTTTTTTTTTTTTGGCTTTGCTATTTTCTTCTTTGGGTAATTTCCTTGTGGTTTGATTTTTTGTTGCTGTTGTAGGAGGATCTCTTGTCTTTCTTTTTACTTCTTTAGTTCTCTTCTTCAACACTGTTTGCAGTCTCTGGATTTGTTTCTGATATCTTCTGTTATTGCAGGTAGATATTTGCATCTTTGTCTTTGATATCATGTTCGCAAATGGAGAGCAGTAATTATCTTTTACTCAAGTTTATATGTATTGGTGATGAACTTGGTAGAAATTATCATGTAGTGCATGCAAATTATTCTGTTAGCAAATGATCTCTTGAATGCATTGGCTTTGTGCAGTGCACTGTGCTGTACAAATCAGGATAGTATATTGATCAGAGGACTATAGGTGAGGGTAGTTATTGAGAAAAATCTAAGTCCCATGTAGGCCAGAGATAATGCCAAAATAAAGTATATATGTGGAGAACAATCATTTCTTTACAAGCTAATTTGTAGAGTTGAGTTATGCTTTGGTATAATATGTTTTTGGTACCTCTAAAATTTCTTAAGTTTGGTATTAGTCCCTCCAAAAATTTTTGTTCTATTTTGATCCTTCTAATTTGAAAATGCACTACTTTTGGTCCTCATAGTGATTTAGATAATGCATTATAACCAATTTTAAGTGCTATCTAAACCATTTTAAGGACTAAAAGTGATACATTTTCAAATTAGAGGAACTAAAATAAAACAATTTTTTTGGAGGGATTAAAATCGACTTCCAAAAATTTTAGGACTAAACACATTTTTCTCATTAGGCTCAAATTCACATTCTAAAATAGTATTAGAGCTCATCCTAATGTTTGTAAAATGGTATCATAGTATATTCTAGATCTAATAAAAGATTTACCCATCATATTATTCATGCATTGGGGAAAAATTCAAGTCCCTCATCAAGTGGGGGACAACCTCATTTTATAAGTCTATTTTGTAAGGTTGAATTAGACTCAAATTCACTTTCTAAGATTATATCAGATTCTATTATGTGACATGCTATTGGTTGTTTATGGACCACCCATAGATATCCAGTCCTGCAAATTTTCATTAGAAATTTTCAGTTCTTAGTGTGAGGGATTTATGTTGAAATTTCCTTATCAACTAGAGATATGGTCAAAAAAATAGAATAGTGGGGGAGCAATTATCAGCTTAAAAACAGGTTGTCTAAGGTTGAGTTTAACCCAAATCCACTTTCTTAATATGGTATTAGTGTCTATTGTAACGATTGTAAGACAATATCATGGTCTAGCTTATATTCATTAAAAGAAAAAGTCATCTACTATTTATCTACGTACTAAGCTCAATAGTGTTAAGTGTGAGGGGTGTATTGAGAAAAAAACTCTAAGTTTGACACCTTCTAAAAATAAGGTAAAAAATAGTATATAAGGGAGGACAATGCATATCTTATAAGCTTGTTTTGTAAGGTTGAGTTAAGTTCAAAATTTCATTCATGAGATGATATTAGAGCCTATCCTACATCCATTAAAAAAGACTAGCCACTATTTATCTATGCAGTAAGCCCAATAGTGTTGGGTATGAGTGGGTGTATTGAGAAAAATTCAAACTCTAGAAATTAAAACTAAAATGGTGTATTAGTGAAGTACAATTCTCATCTTACGAGTCAATTTTGTAGAACCTTACGAGCTAATTTTGTAGTGTTAAGTTAGGTTCAAACTTATATTCTTAGAGTAGTTCGCAAGATGGTACAGCCAATGCTAAATCTTGTGCATGGATGGATAAAAACTAGATAGGGCGAAAAAATGTGGCATTTTCACATTAATGACAGTAGAGCAGTTAATGATGATTATGCATGTGGATCTCAAGATAGATGCAAGGTAGGTCTGTTTAGGCAGTATTGATTTGTTTTAAGACGCTAATTATCCTTGAGCAGTTGATATTTCCTTTAAAATACAGTCTGTACTTGACCCATTAAAGCTCTGTTTGCAGGTTATTGGGTTTTCCTCTCCGCCTTAGACGAAAGTGTATGCATCTAATCATCTTATTAGATTGTGAATCTTCTGCATTTTATGGCAAGGTGAAAATTTACTGTAACTTGTAATTGAACTTTTATTTTAATCCTTGTGTATGTCTTGGAAATTATACAGATCTGAGGGATTTGTTCTATGATGAAAAACCTGGGTATTTTGAATATGCTAAGGAAACAACTGTAAGTGCTTCAGTGTATGATTACTATTTTCTAGTGAAATGTATTTAATGCAGGTATATATTTGAATACTTAAATGTAGATTGAAGCAGACAATGCTTGTTTAACCTGTGAAGCAACATTAACTAAGATAAATGCTTTTCTAGAAGATGCACTACGCTCTTCATGTGAAGGAATTATGGTGAAAACATTGGATGTTGATGCTGGGTATTTTCCATCAAAGCGTTCTGACAAATGGTTAAAGGTTAGTATTTGTCGTACAGGGCTTTGGTCACTTTGTTTGTCTTGAGACACAAACATCATGTATTAAATATGTATAATGTTCCGAGCCTTCATTTTGTAGGTCAAGAGAGATTATGTGGAAGGATTAAATGATACTCTTGATTTAGTACCGATTGGTGCATGGCATGGAAATGGAAGGAAAGCTGGATGGTAATTACCTTTCATATTTTTTCCTGTCTCTTGAAATCATTTAAGATGCTGCAATGAAACTTGCATTAATTTAATATTCTCATGTGTTTACTACATTAGTCACGTTAAGGACCAACACTCCTCTAAATGCTTGAGTCTGGTGGATGACATCTGCTTCACTGCATAACCTGGAATGAAGATAATGCAGCATAATGACCTCATTTCATGTTCAGATGCCCAGTTCGAATCAAAACATGAAATTTTTTTGGTGAAACATCTGTTATGTGCAACCAAAACAAACAATAGTATCTAGCAAAATGAAAATATACAGGACTATAGCCAATAATTATGATGCATTATAGCAATTATAGATAACCAAAAGTTTGCGTGGCACTTTAGTTTGAAAAAGGTGTTAATAGAGATCATATTCCATGTCATTGGAAAAGAATGGGCATGATTATGTCGAGCATTAAGTGAGGCTTGGTAATTGCAATAGAAATTGCGTCCATCAAGTGAAATCATGAAGTTTTATTATCTCACTCACTGGTTGATACACCTCAGATGATTACTTAAGAACCTTGCCAACATACAACAAATGGAAAATGAAGTGGCAGAAAAGGAATGTGCATTTTACTGTGGCTTCATAATGAACCTTGTTGTATAAGAAAGTGATTTACTGCGCTGTTTTTTATCTGGATCTTTTATTGTTTCAGGTATAGTCCATTTCTTATGGCTTGTTTCAATCCTGAAACTGAGGAGTATCAAAGTGTATGTCGTGTGATGTCTGGATTCTCAGATTCATTTTACATAGAGGTATAAATTGTTTTGATTTCTTAATGTATTCTGGCCTATGCCAGCTAACTCTAAAGTACCATAGCCTTTTTCCTCTTTTACTTAGTGTTTGGTACTTTGGTTGGTTGGGAGGAAATGGAGACGAGGGGAGAGGTTTTTATAAACTTTTGTAGATTGGTTCAATTTTTAGGAAAAGCGAGGGGAGAAAAATCCTCCCTCATTCAATTACCGCTTCCCTTTAATATTGGAGGAATTTAAAACAGGTTTTGTATAATGACTAAAATATCTCTGCTTGTCGATCATTTAAACGGATCTTAGTACATCAAAGGATTAGTCTTTAGCTTTCGGCTTAGGGGATACCTTTGTTTACCAAAAAGAAACATTATCTCTACTTATGTTTTTAAATTCAATATTATAAGGGTACGAAGGTAAGTTAATTTTTATAATCTCTCCCCTCATTTGAGCCTAATAGTCCTTTAAGCTAAGTATGTTATTGTAATTATATTTTTCGTAGTCCTGTCTTTGAAAGTCGAAAACTAAAAGTCATCAATACAGCTTATCTATGTTACTTATGCTTACATAGTTCATAATAGATAACTTTTAACCCTTTTATGCTGACCTCTACAAGTTAGTAGTCATTGATTATTCATATTCAGGAAAATGGCATTCAAGGACACTTAAAAAAACATTTTGACCTTGAAGATTGCCAAAGTAATTTTTTAGGCTGGGGTAGACAATTTTGTGTTGCTCCTTAATAAGAATATTTAAAATAAAATGACTACTTTGTATAGTAGAATAATCATTTATTTTGGTGTCCTTCCTGTCCAATATGCATCCTGGGAGCAACATTGAGGTAATTACTTCATTCATATTGGCCAAACAATATTTTTGAAGTTTAGAGAGTTAAAAATTAATAGACATTAATTTGATCTATAAAGGTCATTTATGGTTTTATTATGTATTTGCTATGGCCCATTAGTTATGTTTAGCATATACCAAATCTGTTTGAATACAAACTTAGAAACACTTATGAGAGTTTCTCTATTAGAAATTTTTTTTTTAGTAGAGAAATTCTCAAAAGTTCTTCTAAAATTATATAAACAAATCTAGGACAAAGAATAAAAGGTATGGGGGTGGGTTTGTTTTCTTTATTAATATCATGAAATATATCCTGTAGTAATAAAACAAAGACAAAAATGGTCCCTGTATCACAACTCATCCAGTTATCTAAACATTGACTAGATGGAGGTGAACAAAGTACACAGAGCTTATTGCTTTCTTTTCCTTATTGAATTTGTTAACCTGGTGGCAACATTCTTTTATCATCACTGACAGGAATTTGATATTGCGTTACAGATGAAAGAATTTTTCTCTGGGGACAAAGTTTTGTCCAAAAAGCCACCATATTATCAAACAGGAGAGGCACCAGACATGTGGTTTTCTCCACAAGTCGTTTGGGAAATAAGAGGAGCAGACTTTACAGTATCCCCCGTTCATCATGCTGCCATTGGTTTAGTTCATCCATCTCGTGGCATCTCAATCAGATTTCCAAGATTTATTCGTTCTGTCTCAGATAGAAACCCAGAAGAATGTAGCACACCTGCCGATATAGTTGAAATGTTTCATTCTCAGACTCGAAAGATGGACGTCACAGCTCAAAACTGAATGTTGATTTGTTTTCTGCATATATATAATCAGTTCTGGATGTAAATTGTTTCTAGGTTTCAGGTTATTGAAGATTTTAACGTTTTATATGTATAGTTTAGAAGTTTTAGCAGAAGATTGTCTTGGCTTGTCCCACGAAAGTTGTGCTAGCTTCTTTCTGGTATTCTACCCTCTGGGACAGTATTGATGTCATACATGCTTTTGTTATTTGAGAGAAACAAATTTTGATCCAACTTACGTCTGACCGATGGATACAGTCCTCTCTTGATAAAACATTCTATGGGATTGATGTATACATCCATCTTCAACAAACAGTTCAACATTGGTGAAACCAACATGGTTAGCCGATTGGTTAAATGTTATTAATGAGAATAGTAATTTCCCTATTTTTAACAATAAGCCTGGCAGAGTTGACTTAAGTACTTATATGATTTAATTTTTTTTTAAAATAATATATATCTTTCAACAAAAAATAAAAATACCATGCGTGAACTTTGGATTCTAAAAAAGTAGAAATATTTAAGCAAACCTTAGTTGCGGAATCCAATTTTACCCTTATGCACACAATAAAATGTTGTATAAAAAGTTTTAAACATAAGATGTACAAATAGAAAGGGAAAAAAGGGTTAACAAAATAAACATGACCATACTTTGCAATCCTATGTGATTTGATTCGCTATAAAGAAACTCTAATTTGAGAACTCGTACCCATAATTACTTGTGAAACTCACCCTTATGCAAACTACAGAATGTTGTAATTTGTAAACAATAGAAAATGGAAAAAGAAAAAAAAAAAAAAAGAAGCAAATGAAGTACTCATGACTACATGCTTTGTTATACACATTTTAATTGAATAAAGAAACCCTGATTCGATTTGATAACCTGTATCGGGTGATTACGTGGCAAACTGACTGACCCTGATCCGTACCCGTATCCGATGGTTACGTGATAAAGTGAGTCACTGAGTCTCGCTCACAAAAGATGCAGCAGTAGTAGTAAGAGGTCAGCACGAACAAACAGACGCATTACATTACATTACATAGTAATAGAAAGTTATTAACAAACCAACCTAATCTCTCTCTCTCTCTCTCTCTTCAATGGCCGGAATCCGCTTGCAACCGGAGGACTCCGACGTCTCCCAACAATCCCGAGCGCTGGCTCTCTCCGCCGCTGATCTGGTCTCCGACGACGACCGCTCCGTCGCCGCCGACTCCTGGTCCATCAAGAGCGAGTATGGCAGCACTCTCGACGACGACCAGCGCCACGCCGATGCCGCCGAAGCTCTCTCCAACGTCAACCTCCGACCTCCCTCCGATTACAGGTTCCTTTCCTCTCTCTCTCTCTCTCACACACACACACTCACACGTGTGATTATAGCAAACGAATACGAGTGTATCGAATCAATTGGAATTTGTGTTTTGCGAATTGCTTCTCTATGGACCGTGTCGTACTTGATTCCTGATTCGTTGATTGCATTTTCACTCCTTCGGTTTTTGTTATGCTATGAAATTTCAGGTTCGTGAATATGCATAGTATGAAAGTGAAACTCGTTGTTTAGCTCTGAGCGAAATGCCTAGGTTTCGAATTTAATGTTAGGAGGAGGAGGAGGAATTGAGGTGAAGTAGAATGTTAAGATCTGCTTAGTTTGGTTTGTGGCATTTCATTTTAGGGCTATGAAGGTGGTTTATATTGGATATTCTCTTGTAATTTATGGATCTGATCTGAATTGTTGTAGCTATGCGGATTTTGGAATTTGCTTTCAGGATTTACAGTTCGGAGCTGGTGTTTGTTTGATGAGAAAGGAGTTGAATGAATGAATCATTGAATCATCATTCTGAATTTACCAATGCTGACTTTTTTTTATTCATTGTTTGTTCTTCTTGTGTGCAGTTCTGACAAGGATGAACCTGATTCTGAAGCAGTTTCATCCATGCTGGGATTTCAGAGTTATTGGGATTCTGCATATGCTGATGAGCTTACAAATTTCCGTGAACATGGTCATGCTGGTGAAGTCTGGTAAATGAAATTTTGATTGCATAATGTGCTCTGTTGATGATCTACATGAACTTGGTGCAGAGATTAGCTGTGATTAAAATTGGATCCCCAATTGTTTACATGTATTCCTATCTTATTCTAAGAAATAGGTGGAATAGACTTACTAATTGGGCTATGGAAAATGATATCAAAATTCAAAACATCGTTGCTATAATCTTTAGCCACCAGGTGAAATTACTGACCCGAAACCATACCTGATGATGAGCAGTAATTAGGTTTTCAGGCCTTTCTAGGAGTGAAGTGTTGATTTCTTTTTCGTTTGGGTAAACTTTTTAATAAGCACATATAGGATGTGAAAAAAAAAATGAAATAAACTTTTCCAAAAGTTAAGATTAATTTATGCATGTGTTAATTTGTAGAAATATTAGCTTCTCTAAAAGCTATTCTTTCAACTTGTGGAGAAATTAATTTTGGCTTATGAAGAAACTTATTTTATTTTCTTTCTTATTGTTTTCTACTAGAAGTGTTTATGAAGAATTTTATCTAAACAAGCTTACATTGACAAATGGTTGGATTAAACTTCTAGGAATAAGGAAATGTCATGACTTTCTACTTGAGGAATTTATTAAAAATCAGCATTTTCTTCATTTCTTATTTTGTTTCCCAAGCTTGTTATGCTCTACTTACTTTGCTAGCCAAGGTGCTCTCGCTCTTCCCATTTATTGGATTGCTACAGTGCATTCTAAGTTTCGCCTTATTGATTAAAGTCAGTTCTTCAATCAGCATTAAAAAAGGGATTTTAATGCGGAATGAAAGCCTTATTGGATAAAGTGGGTGCATTTTAAGTCTTCTATTTTCACTTTTAGCCTATCATGCAATTAAAAGCAAAATAACATTTGATTAAATATAACCAAGCATTTTTTCCCTTCCAAAAAATACTTCTGGGTGCCTCAAATGTGAGTTGGAGGCTCCCATACCAATCTAACAGCATTAGAACAGAAAACCTTTTGTGCAGCTTTGAACAATGTAACATCATATAACATACCTACAATATCCATGGAATACTAACAAATTGAGAAAAGTATGAACTTCAGACCCACATTAAGATTTCTGTGCTTTTACTTGTCATTTTGCTATACATAATGTTTACACTGCTTTGATTCATGGTAAGAGCCAAGCCTTCTATACTACTTTTTATGGAAAAATTGATGTGATAATGTGTACCCTCCGGATCTCCAATTTGCCTAGCTGACTGAACAGTTCCTGGTCCCCATCCGACCGAGCAACCCAAACTTTAGGCTAGTCATTGACGTATTGACGAGTGAGTTCCGGTAAAACTAATCAAAGTTGTGATTCCTGTGATTCTTGCGTAGGTTTGATTACGATTATAAATGCAGTTCATAGGTTCATTACAGAGAGGGATCCACGCGCATTTAAGGGGATAAAGATCAAAGATCTATATAACGTATATGGGACCCATATAAATAAGGAAAGTGGACTAGGGAAAGTCAAGTTTTTCTCATTCTTGAATGTTTTAGGTCAAGACGGCAGTTAGGTTCTCTTAGAGTTCATTTTACCAAGGGTTCTCCTGCTGCTATCCCCTTACTAGAACAAATAAGAATAAATTTCCCATGTTTGAAAGGACAGGTGAACATTTTAATGTAGAAAATTATATAAGATTATAAAATGAGTTTGATATCTTATTTTGCATCATTTTATATTTTAAGTTTGAGTTTATCTACTGCCCCTCAGTAAGAGGTTGCTTGTTGGGATTAATACTTCATATTTTCCCATCTAGCCTTCAGTTCAGAGATTCTATTTCAGCATTCCTTCATAGTAAAGGACTACAGCTTCTGTTTTTCCTTAATTTTATTTGCACATATCAACTTCTAGACAGTGTTGAATGTTGACATTTGACACTAAATGCAATTGTTAGAACTAGAAGTGTCACATTCTTTCGGTTTTCATTGCAAAAATGTTTAACTGTTATGTTTTTTTTCCCCTTATATTTTCTGTATTTGTAGGTTTGGAGTTGATGTGATGGAAGTAGTTGCGTCATGGACAAAATCCTTGTGTGTTGACATTTCTCAAGATCGTATACCAAATGATGTTGATGATGTTAAGGCTGAAGCTGGTGAACTAGGTGATAAATTTTTGTCTAGTTGGAGTGTACTAGATATTGGGACTGGCAATGGTTTACTTCTCCAAGAATTAGCTAAACAAGGGTATGGCTTTACCAAGTTTTGTCCATATTTTGGTACTAATATATGCTGTGTCAATATAAATAAAAATATATACCTCTAAATAACCACCGAATCCTTTGTCTTTCTCAACTTAATTTTGCTCCAACATTATTTTGCGTCCTCTCTTGATTACACAAAAATGTGTTGGTGCCTCGTTGTATTTGTTTGAAAACAGAAAGGCTTACTAAGCTTGTACCAAAAAAATATGTGAACACATAATTACAATTGAATGATAATTTCAGTGGCAAAGGCAATAAATGATTTATTTCAAGTAATTTATAAAATAATGAAAATTTAATTAAATACTTCCAATCCATATCAGCTCATGGTCATGTACACCAATGAAGCTATAAGGATGAGATTTTTCTATATAAAAATCTTTCAAAAAATCTTATATAGGGTTCTTGATTGATTTTTTAAAAATTAAATTGGTAAAAATGAAAATTTAGCTGCGTCTGTGCGTCGAAGCCTTACTGATTATACTTTGATGAGAAAGTTTCTTGGGAATGAAACCATGCTTTGTGCAGTCTAGGTTCTTGCAAATTCTGAATATTTATAGTGGAGAGATATCAATTTGTTTTATTAGTAGGAAAGATTACAATGGCAAAACAATGATCAAACCTAAGTTTTTGTGTATCCTCCCAAAAAAAAAAAAACCTAGGCTAACCCTAGTGGTTTCATTTATGTTGTTGTATTGTGAACTCCTTGTTATGAAAACTCTTGGCATTTGTTCAGGTTCTCTAATTTAACTGGGACTGACTATAGTGAAAGGGCAATCAGCCTTGCCCAAAGCCTTGCTAATCGTGATGGATTTTCCAACATCAAATTTATGGTACGTTCTAGTTTTAATTTTTAAGTGTGAATGAGCATGTAGTTTTGTTCAACTCTTTCCTTCTTGTGGATCCCAAAGGTGAAGGTTATTCTATTACATGAGATTGTGAAGTTAGCATAATGAATTACGAAAAGGGTGTAACGATGCACAATTATGAAAAGTCAGTATTATTATGGGCAAACTATACAACACAATCCCATTTCTTACCATTCGAGTCATTTATATTTGTTTGCTCTGTTTTTCATCTTTTCTTAATTGTTTGATTGTTTGCGGCTTTCAATACATGAGAAAATAATTGGACCTTTGCTTTGTTTCTTTCTTCCTTTTTTAGCCATTGTAACTTGTACATCTGCCGTGCTCTTTTTGTACCTTCACCTGATTTCTTGAATTTTCAACATTTTTTTCATCAAAATTTATCACCAAAGTCTTCAATGTCCTGATTTAATCTGCCACTGCATACCCCTCTTACATTGACCTGATTCTTGAATTGTAACATAACAGCTTCATTTTCATCAATTATCACCAAAGCTGCAATCCTTTGGTTTCACACAAGTTGAATCAATAGTGGCTGATTTGAGCTTTCCATTCTTTCCGATAATCCCACAGTTTTTAGTTCTTCTGGAGGCACTTTGTCACATGCTTTAGCATTACTGAAATTTTGTGTCACATGATTCTTGTTTCTAGGGCTTTTATAATGATTAACTTCCATCCTATTATTGGTAACTATTAGGATTTGAAGATGGTTGACCATCCAATTTTCTACGGTAGTAAATCTAACATGCCCAGTGGAAAAAACAAAACAGAACTCACATAGTAGGGGCTGCAAAAGTAAACTATGTGCATGTGAACTATGAACCTGGTGGGAAAAGGGCTAACATAATGAATTATGTTACTAAAATAAGAAGAAAAAAAATGGAGAAATGCTGAATAAATGGAAGAGGGGCAATAATAGGAGAACTTCTGAAAAATATTGGAGTTTATCCTTTAGAATTTGTAGCAATAGAAGGAAGAATTAATATTGTCTGGTTTTATTCATTCTTTTTAAGAAGCAGTTTTCTTAATTATTTATATTTTAAATTTGTGATTCAATGATCCTAGAAAATGGGAGAAACCATAAGGAAAAACTAAGAGAAATTTGTTAAGAGTATTTACTGCAGAGAAAGAAAGTTTTTTAGAAAGTGAGTCTTAAATGAAGAAATCATTTGTTTATAGAGTCTTAACAAATCAGTTAGATTTGTAGTATTCTGCAGTTGAAGGTGCTTGCAAGCAGTGATTTTGACATGTTGAATAGGCTTCAACATCTAACAAATACTTTAACAACTGAACATTACAAAAGAAACTGAACTTTGTTACATAATTTAAGTCACACAAGCTTTATAAGCTTAGCTACTAGCTAGCCTATATTCTAATATATTCTTAACCCTTCATCGCATTTTATTGTGCACTGTTGTATTTGACAGATCACTTTGAATTTTGAACATGAAGTTGTTTCTTGGCATTCTTATTTTGTGTGCGAGGCATTACTATCTTTACATTCTTGACATGTCCAATTCCTAAAACCTTCCTTGGCTTTAATTATTTTAAGGTCGATGATGTCCTCGAGACAAAGTTGGGACAAGAGTTTCAACTTGTTATGGATAAAGGAACGCTAGATGCTATTGGATTGCATCCTGATGGTCCTGTCAAGAGGTAAGAAAACATACTGTCTTATCTGTGATTCTATCATAAGTTTATTGGAATTATATATATATATTTTTTCTGAAGTTTATATATATATATATATATATATATTTTTTTTTTTTTTTTACTTTATTGCTTACTGATTTGCTCTCCATTTAATAGTTTGCTTGCATGGTACCGAGAAATTATGCTTGTTTTCTTGATTTCAGAATGATGTATTGGGATTCTGTTTCAAGATTGGTTGCTCCTGGTGGAATACTTGTAAGCACTTCTAAATTTACTACCAAGTTCTTGGCGCTTGTGGGTCGTGGCATGAACTGTGCATGCCTATTACTTAGTGGGATTTTTTTATTCATTAAAAAAGAAGTCATTATTATTTTTGATCTTGATTTCTGCTTGTTTCACTTGCTATGTCTTTCCCAAATTCCTGAGTTCATGATATAGTTGCAGCAGTTCTTGCTACTTAATTTGGACTTTCTCCTTTTTTGTTGTAAGGTGATTACGTCTTGTAATAGTACAAAGGATGAGTTGGTACAAGAAGTGGAAAGTTTCAACCGACGAAAAATTGCTAGTGCTCAGGAACTTGAGGAATCGTGCAGAGAACCCCCATTTGAATATGTAAGTCATGTCCGCACATATCCCACATTTATGTTTGGTGGATCTGTAGGCTCCCGTGTTGCTACCGTGGCATTCCTTCGGAAATGAAAATGCCTGTCATTAGCTCTTATGATTTAGGGTTTGAAGTTGTGGTTGGTGGTATAGGTAGATGCATTTTCCTAACGTGTGTCGAACCGTAAATATTTTTTGTGATTTATGTTCTGTTACCTCTCCTTTCTTTTGGGTGAATAGTTGTTATCATTCGGAGTTTACAGCCAGTTTCAGCGTGGCAAAAGGTTATGTTTCTCTGGTTCTTTTCTGACTTTGATTACAATGAGGTGGATGAAACTATATAGAATGAATCATTCTAAATCTTTGTGCATCCTCTTATTGATTCTCCCACTTTTGTACAGTAAGTATTATGTGTTTTATAGTTTTTTTGGTTACTTGTATTTTATAATTTGAAGATGTTAAATGTATTTATTTAATATTTTTTTACTTAAATATATTTATAATCTTTTAAGTTTTGGATATTTATTTCTAGTCTCTTAAATTTATTTATTTTTTAATTTCTGTAATTAAAAAAAAAGCTTTTTTGAATCTCTTAGAACTATTTGTTCGTAGGTCGGCCCATTAAGCCTGTGGTTTGTACGGTTAATAAATTTTTTTTTTATTTTTTTTTTAAATCATGTAACTATAGAAGGAATTGTGCCAACTCACGAAGTCTGTGGGCTTGACCTACGAGCTAATTCGTTTAAAAGAATTATTATTTTTCCTAACTTTATGTGAGGCCTTTTGAATTATGGGTGATTTTAATATTATGTTAAAAAATAAGTATAAGGAATAAATATTGAATTTAGTATATATTTTATTTAAAATATATTATATTTTTTTTACCTTAATATATTTTAGATTAACTATACAAGTTTGGTATGTTAATACTTCAATATTTTAGTTTAAATATGTAAGTCTTTATATATTAAGACTTTCATAATTTATTTTTATTTTAAAATGTTTGATGTTTATGTTTTTATAAATATTTTTTTTTATGTAATTCTCTCTCGAATTTTCTTGGCATAAAAAATTGAAAAATAATATACTTTTCAATTTTTTTATTGAGTCAGCAAGCTTAATCGTTTAACTGCGAGTTTGTAGGTGGGTATGGGAAAAAAATATATTTATTTTGTAGATTGAGTTTATTTGACCCATTAAAAATGTGGATTTTGTAAGTTGGATTTTGAATTGGTTAGGTCAGTCTCTATATCCACCCTTGCTTAAAACTAGCTTCATATATATATATATATATATATATATATAAACTAGCAGCATTATTAATAATGACAGATTGAGTAATAGTACGACATTAATTGAATTTAATATAATATTTTTATTAATAAGAATATTAGTAGATGAATTTTGTACTAAAAATTTAAAAGATGAATTTTTTTTAGACATATTAACTAATTACGTATGAGCAGAGGGATTAAAATAAGTATTTTTTACTGAAGATAATTTTACTTTTATGGATATTAAAACTTTTCCCGAGTATTATGAATTAAATAAGAATAAGTTAAAGTGGTGATAGTTTTACTTTAACTACGATCATCTTTGTAGTATTACTGCATTAATGTAGAATGTAATGTCAAAATTTAAGATTTAGTTTTAATTTGTATTTGATTTTTGATAGTGACTTCATGCATCCTCGTTCCATGAAACAATCTTATTCACGTTGGATATGTTCGTAATTAGCAACAAAATTTCACTTTTAAATATTTAAAGGTTACATATTTAGTCTAAGACTCAAAATAAAACTATTAGTTAAATTCAAACAATATCACCTTTTTGATTTGCATGTTATATTGTAAAGTATGATTTTCGTCAACTAGTGCATGATTATTTTACTCATTACTGTTATATTTTAAAATTATTTTACATTTTTACCTCTTCACTAATGTTATAATTTACATCATTATTATATTTTAACTGAATAAATATCCTACTGATTACATATAAAATTTAAATTTAAAGTAATTATATATTTTTTATTTAATATTTATCATTTCTCTTTTATGTTATATTTTAAAAATAAAAAACAACTGTATATATCCCTTGTATATAAAAGAATACAGTGTCTTTTTTTTTTCTTTCTAATATCTATATTGTCCATATTATTATATCTATTCCTGTATATAAAAAGCGATTTTGATTTTCTGTTTTCATGTATATGATTTTTGGACTGTTTTATTATTAAATTTTTTAATAATAATAAAATGTTAAAAATTAATTGTTTTTATAAATTTAAAATTTGAATTTGAGACTTTAAGATTTAAAAGTAGGTACAACATTTGTTGATTCAACAAATATTAATAATTTTTAAATACTTTTAAACAAATATAGAAATACAAAGTGTGTTAACTTTACTAATTATTAATAAAGAGAATAACTTTTTTTGATGTACACAATTTTTGGATTATTTTATCCTTATAACTTATATATTTTATCTCATTTACCCTTTATAATTACCTAAAGATAACTGACCATTATTCAATCTTTATTAATTTTATTTTACTTTATTTTTATTTGTTTAAAGGTACACAGAAACATAACATGTCTTTTTTATGCTAGTAATATTTAAAGGAAATATCTATTTTTGATGTCTACTTTCTTAAAGAAAATTATATTCTTATGTTATATTTTTTTTTCTCATTTAAGTATAAAATAGAAAAATACACATAAAAAAATAACTCTCCTCTTTAAAAAGAACAATTACTCTTTTTAAAAAAAAAAAACAATATTTTTTGTTTCTACTATAAGTCTGCTGTCATCGTTAGGGTCACTGCATCCGAGGTATTGTCCACTTTGGCTCGTTGGGCCGTCACGATTTTGTCCTTATAAAGGCGTCTCAATGGGTTAGGGAGGAGGGGTGTTTATAAACTATCCTTAGCCTCGACTCCTAAGCGATGTAAGACTTTTAGGCATACCGGAACAGGTCTCCCCAATCGATGTTAAGGGGCAAGAGTGGCCTAGGCCCTCCTTTTAGTGCCAAATGTTTCTACCGTAAGTCGATGCTAAGGGGCAAGAGTGGCCTAGACCCTCCTTCTAGCGCCAAATGTTTATAGTGCCAAATGTTTTTACCGTAAGTCGATGCTAAGGGGCAAGAGTGGTCTAAGCTTTCCTTCTAGTGCCAAATGTTTCTATCGTAAGTCCGTTGTCATCGTTAAGGTCACTGGAGCACATCGTTACCCAATTCGTCTTTTTCAACAAATTGTGGATTAATAATTGAAAGACAACACCGGATTCTGTTTAGATTATGTGAATCTATGATTAACAATGTAATTGGACAATGTTTTAAAAGTAATAAAATTTTAAAAATTTGACCCATTAAACTACTCTATCGAGGCATCATTTTTAATTATCACACATACATACATATGGATGGAATGTGTGTTAAACCATTTAATTAAATTATATGTTAGCTAATAACTATTGGCTTAACAGGAAATGACAAAACACATGAACCAATTAAAAATGAGGTAGATATTGATGAATTATTAGTAAGTATTTTGATGAAAATTCATTAATTACAAATACGTATAAGTACGGATTCAGAAATATATTAAACGGGTCTTTTTTCTTCTTATTTTTATAGTTATTTAAATTTTTAATTTTTAATAAATAATCATTTTTTATAAAAATAATTACAAGATTTATACAAAACTAAAATTGATTTTTTTAAATGATAAAAAAAACGTAACAATAAAAATTTCTATCACCAGATTTTTTCTATTTCACATAATAAAAGTTTCTATAATAGTTTATAAGATACCGATTATTTCGATATAAAGAAATATAATAATTAATTTTAAAAAAATGTTGAGTAGTGAATTTAAGTGTTTAATCTTTATGTAATAAAAATTAATATATTTATTGTGTTGATTTATATAAAAAAAGGAAAAAAATATAATTGAGTGAATTAATATTAAATTAATATATTACATTGTTATAATATTATCAATCTAAAAACATAAAATTTGTTAGTGAATAAATGAGATAATGAATATTATTATGGATAAATAATTATTTAAATATTATTATTGTTATTATATATTACATGATTGTGTGGAGTTAAATTATGAATTAAAAGATAACTAATACAATATCAAGTTAAAAATATTTAAAAAAATCTGAATCAAACTCTTTCGATCGGTCTGAGTCATTTGGAAGCCGCTCACAAGGAAAAAGAAAAAACTTAGGTGAGTGTAAGATGCATCCAACGGTCCTTATTGCTTCTTGCATCTGAACCGTGGGATAAACTAAGAGGTGGATACTGGATAGCATAGAACAAACCAAACTGAAGAGAGAACCTTGAGCTCTGTTGCGCTTCCTTCAAATTCACCTAAATTTTCAAGGTACTTCAAATTGCTCTATGTTTCATTCAGAATCATTGTTGCTCCATTACCTCTGTCCTTCAATTTCTCTATTTCTGTGCTCATTGGTCATTGTTTCTTGCTCAATTTCATTGCAATTGTGGTAAATTAATTGGTAACGCCACTGCAAGTTCTAAGTTGAAAAAAAAACGGTTATTTTTCTATACTGATCAATGAGGAACCGAAAAGGAAAGAAATGGAATTTTGTTCGGAATTCTGCTTCGAATGGGAGGAATATGGTGTTCTGAGCAGATAACACATTGCAGAGATTGAATTGAAGAGCACGTTATAACAGTACACCCAAAATAGTAATAGGAATATATAATTTTGTAATAGATAGGAGGCTAATTATCCTAATAATAATATTACAACAACCCAAACATAATAAAAGTAATAGTAATGAGAGAAAAAATAATTATCATTTTGTTTGTAAGAAGATAAATGGTTTTAAATTTATTTAGAATAGGAGATCCAAGATTAATAGATAAAGGGATATCAAGAAAATTATTAACAAGAAAGGGTGTTTGTTTAGTGCAGTAGTGAAGAAAATTCTAAAGGAATTGAACCTTTACGGATTATAGACTTAAATGAAGTATAAAAATACTAGAACCACTTAGTTACAATCAATTTCTACCATAAGACTCAACAAAGAGAGAATAAAACTGTGGATTCTAAATTTTAAGGGATGAGGACAAGTAAGGAAGTGTGCGAGAGTACACAGAATTTTCCCTATATTTAATATAATTTATCTTTTATTATTGTTTTGATTGATTAAGATGGGATTAGTTCCATTGAATGAGTATGAGTTATACCATCATATGCACAATTATCAATCCTTTACATTAGAGTTGATACTGAGTGAAAATATTAGATTTTAAATCACTGATTAAGATTTAAGAGGATCGGTAGAGAAGCCTATTAGTGGCAAATTGGAAAATTAGGTCCTCTAACAAAATTATGGAATGATATCAACTCTAATAACACTGACTGTAATCATATTAATGTTGTTGGACCTTGAATAGCTACACCCTGTGATGAGGGGTAAATCTTATAGTGGAGGTCAAGGAGACTTTAAGGGCGTTTAATGTATGTCATCTTACATGTGATCAAAGATTTGGGAATTTGAGTAGTGGTTAAGGCGATTTGCATACAGAATAAAAGTAATAGTAATGGTCTGTGTAGTGAACTTCTAAGTAAATGATGAATTACTACAATTTATCCATGATCTGTGTAGTGTACTTCGAAGTACATGAGATCACCTAGAAATGGTCGGTGAGTTCTTGCATATATCTAAGATCACCTAAAAATGGTCGGTGAATCTCGTACACATATCTAAAATCATGAACAAATGTTTTTTTAAGTGCTGTGTTAATTTTTCGTATTATGTTTATATTATTTTGGGGTGTTACATTTTTTCTTTTTTTCTTTTTTTGCTGAATGTAGGACGTGTTATCTAGTCCAAACTCCAAACGTTTGTGTGAAACAGATAGAGCAGGGTCTAGTCCCAGTAGTTAAAGTTATGGCATCAATTTTATCCTTATCTGTTGGTTATGTTTCCTTCCCCAAATCTCAATCTCTGGTACGCAATTTCTTGATTAATTTTCCTATTCTAACTCTACTATTTCTATTGCCGCACTCACTAATGATTGTGATTCCTCACAGGACCCTGAGAAAATCTCTGATTCTTTTTCCTCTGGTGCGTTACTGTGCTCAATTTCATTTGAGTTATGACTTGTTACAATGCTCCGTTCTCTTTCTCATTGTTACTAACATGTTAGCAGGCAAAAACAACAGCAGGAGTGGAAGTTGTTGTGCACCATCATTTGAAAGAAGAAAGATGCTTCTCTCTTCCATCGGCATTGTTGCTGGAACTTTGTGCAACAGTTCAGGGAGCGGAATCACTTTGGCAGCTGAATTTACCGATAGTAATTCTCTATCAAACTCAACCTATTTCCCAATTTGTGTTCTATGAACAGGATACTATTATGTCTTTAGTGATGATATCCTCTGTTGCATGTTATGTTTATGTTATAATAAATATGACATTGTTGCGTTGTGTTGAGCCACGTATTGACGTAGGAAGTTAGTATAAAATAAAAAAATCATAGCTACGAAGACTTCAAATGTGATGCATACTTTGCTATTACAGTGCCAGCGCTTAGAGGGAAGGATTATGGCAAGACAAAAATGCGATACCCAGACTACACTGAAACTGAATCAGGACTCCAATATAAGGTGTTGTAGTAGTAGTTGCAAATACTTAAATCAATTAATTAAGCATGTTTTGTATTATGATTATTTTAATTAATTTATATACATCAAGAATACAGGACTTGCGACCAGGGAATGGCCCCAAACCCAAGACGGGAGAGACAGTTGTGGTAATGTACTGAATCATTTCTGCATTTTTTTATTTTACTTTTTTTTTTTTTATAGTTGATTGGTTAGAAATTAGAAGTCTGATATAGCCAGTTAATGAATAGTTAAAAACGTTCTCAGACTCAAAAATACTTTGGTGCTCTGAAGTCTATATAACAAACTCTCTTGGTTCCCTGGAATGATTTTGTATGGGATAGCTTTTGGACAAATTTGAACTTTAGTGAAGGAGTATATTGTGTTTCTCCAAGTGGAGTCTCCAGAAATCTAAACCCTTAAAATTTATTGAGTTCAATAAAATATAAATAGAAAACTAGTTTTGAATGGTCAGATCTGCAACTGCACACCCTGCAATTATTTACAAATGCAGGGGATCCACATCCTGTTCTGGACACTATTGTTCTCCCTTCAAATTAAAATAACTGAAGCAACTTTGGGCTTCCAATTCCATTCAGGTAGATTGGGATGGCTACACCATAGGTTATTATGGTCGTATATTTGAAGCACGTAATAAAACCAAGGGTGGTTCCTTTGAGGTATGAAATTCTTTGCATCTTCTAACTGGATAAATAGGAGTTATCGATTATTACACACCCATTCTACTGTTTTCCAATCGTGCAGGGCGATGACAAGGACTTTTTCAAATTCAAAGTAGGTTCTAATGAGGTAGATTCCTCATCATTTACTAATTAAGCTAGTTTCCTGCAACTTGAATTGGATCTTAGTTTACATTGTGAATGTTATTACATGAAAACTGTTTACATGGTTTGCTGTTACATGTGGACCAAGTGATGCAGGATGCCCTAAGGTCATAATTTAAAATGCTGTTTCTTTGGTAAACTAATTTTATATTTTATGTTTTTTTTTAGTAATTTTGTATTTCCACCATTAGAAAAGAGGTTTTAAGATTTTCTACTTGGTAACTGATACAACGTAAAGAAGGATCTTAAATGAAAATAAGTGTTATACCCGGGTTTCTGTTTCACTTATGCACTTTATGCATGCACTACTGTTGGACAACATCGTGTGATGGTATTGTTTGGTTCCTCTCCGATAACAATATTATGTGTGATATAACATACTTTTCTAGGATAGACCACAAGGTGTTTTCAATTGAATTCATCACAACTGTTAATTTGCTAAAATTTACCCACTCCCTTATCAAAGCAAACAGATCCTTGGTTGGAACAATAATTCCTTGTTTGCCTTGAAATGGTTCTTAGTTACATCCCTAAATCACGCTTCTTGATGTAATGCTTCACTGTGAAATTGCCAATGGACATTACCTTTGGATTGTGAGAACATATTAAGCACCCCGTTGTGCTGTATTTTCTGGGTTCTGCATCTCTTGTTTTGAAGACAAATCTCTTATGTACTTTGAATGTTCAGGTAATACCAGCTTTTGAAGAGGCTATTTCAGGCATGGCTCTAGGGGGAGTTAGAAGGTGCTGCATCTATATTGCTAGAAATATTTGATGCATTCTAGAGTTGTGTTATGTGCAAGTTCTTTATTGCCATTACAATAGCCTGAACTTCATTTATTTTGTGAAGAATAGTATTTTGAATAACATGTAATTGCAAAATAGTGCCATGCATATCACACCTATAGTTAGTAGTGGAAAATTTCATGAAGCAGAATATAATTTTATTGAATATAGGGACTTTAGCATCCTGATTTTCGAAGGTTGAAATTGGGAACACTAGAAATATTTAGTTCAGAATCCTCTACTTAAATCTTTTTAATCCTTAACAAAGCTAAATATGAGAAAACTTAGGCAAATGTATTTTTGGTTCATATACTGTGGAAAGAAACGTATAGGGAGAGATATGCAAATTTCATGTTCGTCAATCATGCAGGATAATTGTGCCCCCGGAACTTGGATATCCTGAGAATGATTATAATAAGAGTGGGCCAAGACCAACAACTTTCTCGGTAAGAAGTGAATGTCTATTTTCATCCACTATCTAAATGGATTATGAGGAAGATGCAATACAAATATATTTTACAGGGCCAACGAGCTTTGGACTTCGTACTGAGGAACCAAGGGTTAATAGACAAGACTCTCTTGTTTGATATTGAGTTGTTGAAGATTATTCCAAACTAATTGATCAGATTTTGAGTTGACTCTCAAATATCAGTCAGAACATTGAGGTTAGTTTCCCTGTCATGTCATCACCCATTTGTATTTACTTTGGTATATATTGAGCTCTATAAAGCTGAAAGAATTATAACAATAAGAAAATCGAGGAACTGATGTAAAATACTTTTGTTGATGTAGAACGGTAACTAAGATTACTTCTCTTGTGCATACTCCTTTATGAAAAAATGCCCACCAAGTCTATGACTGAAACCAACTGACACACCAGACAGCCATCACATTCGCATGAAAACCAGAAGTGTCACCTGTGAGGCAAACTGGGTAGGCCACAAATATCGTTGATCATTTGGCATTCCCGCACTACTGAGAAGAATGAAACTCCTTTACTTTTCTCTTTCTTTTGTATGTATGTAGCTCATTGATAAAACAATAACTCAAGTGAATATCTAATTCATTTCTTTAGTAAATGGATTAGTTCTGCTTGATGTGATATATTGTGCAACCTTTGGAATTTGGACTTTTGAAGTCAAAGAATGCCTTTTTGAACTATCAACTATGAAGTTGGCATGTTGTTGATGTGTAGAAAACAAACCCGCAACACCTAGCTTCTATTCTCATGGCTATAACTCAAAATCTGTATGAAACTATTTTGGATTCAAGTGGGAATGACTTTGTCTTGCACCCACGCCACTGGTAATTAAATAGCTATGCTTTATTAAATAACTATGCGGATAATGTGCCAGAAGTGTGCATTTGTTTGTTTGCTTGTGTGTGTGTGGAGTGCTTGTGCGTTTTTAGTACATGAGTGTTTGTGCTTTGGGATGAAAGGTTATGGTAATTTTGCTTGTAAAAGGCTTTCAAGAATAACTTTTCCGATGGGTTAAAAAAATTAACCTATGCAATGATTTTTGACATTGAGTGGTGGATATTACTCGTAGGTTGTGTTTGGATTATCATCTCATTACCTTTAACATCAAAGTTTGGTAAGTGGTTATTTTGGTTCAACGTGCATCAGAACATGAGAATAATTTGAAATAAATATGCAATTGGTGTTAAATAGATAATAAGAATGTATTTGTTTCATCGTTTAGAATTTCATTCTTGAGAATATAAATACGAGAATGTAATATTCACATATTCGATATGTGTTTTGAAAAATTATTCTTGAGCATTATTGATTATATCTTTATGAAAATATGAGAAGTTATTTATTAACATACTTGTAACTTCCTTTTTTTTTAATTATATTGAATTTTAAAAAAGATTTCTAGGAATATTACAATGTAATTGAGCACATTTTTTTTAAATAAATATATTCAAGAATAACATTTTAGTTAAAATATTTCTAGAAATGCGATTTCTAAGAATGTAATATGATGTCTTGAAATTAAGGATGTTTGTAGGATAATAGTTATTTATTATCATAAACTTTGTGCATATATTAAAATACAAGTTGTTTCTTTAGAAAAAATGTTCCAAAATAAAAAATATAAATTATCCAAATATGTAATGATAGATGACATTAACTGAATAGTAATTATTATCTTTAATCTAACTTAGATTGTATTGGTTTTGAATTACTAAAGTTAATAGGGTGAAGAGAGTTGAGATAGTATGTGTAAAGTTTGAAGTTAGAACATTTTGTCTTTGTAACATTTTCTATTTATGAAATTTTTTTGGTTATGGTTTAATAATCATGCATTTACTAGCTTGAATATTGTGTAATGATAAGTTCTTTTATATAAGTTAATATAAAATTTTAGTTCCTCATTTAATTTTTTTTTTAATTTGGTTCTTTAAGTTTAAATTTTTTATTTTAATTCCTTAAATTTTTGTTACACTAACTTGGTTCTTCCGTGAATTTTTGATACTACTGTAAATTTTAGGTAATATAACTTTTCTTGCTGTTTGTCACTTGTTATTAAGTACGATTCAAACTATATATAATTGCATTTTTCTACTCTTTAAATAAAATAAATCAAACTATACAATTTGATATTATAGAATGAAGAGAATGTAATACTATTTGGTAACAAAGTAGTAACATGATTGGTCATGGAGAATGGCATCACTCAAATGCCGTATAGAAGCTAAAGAGTGATTTCTTTTATATATATTTATTCCATAATAACAATATATTTATATATGTGAGACTATACATTTAGGATTTGTTTGATTTAAAAATGGAGGAATTTTAATGGAGGGAAAGAGAAGGGGGGAAGAGTTTGAATTTATTATTATTTTTTTAGTTGAGAGAAGGAAAGAAGAGATGAGATAATTATTTTCTTATTTGATTCACAAATTGGGAAAATATTTTAAATATTAATTTACTTTTTTATTTTTATAATTTTAAATTTAATAACATAAATAAAGATATTTTGGATACTATATTAAAAATGTTTTTAAATCTCTTCCTTCCTCTTTAAATCCCTCTTCAATATTGTATGATAGTCAAAATTAAGTTAAAAAAGATTTTGTTCTTCTCTCCTAATTTTTTTTTTTAAATCTCTTCCCACTCTTGTCTTCTCCTTCATTTTCCTCCAATCAAACATTATCTCAAGAATTAAAATATCTTAACAATACTTTGCAATGAATATATACAAATATATAATTTGCTAAGTACGCCTTTTATTTTTATGCACATTAGCAAGTGAGGGCTTCAATTATCTTGGGCGGATTTGTTAAGGTACATTGACCTTCTATTCTTTTTTTTGGAAGGAGTGTGTCAATAAAAGCGAGAGAAGTTTTTCACACATTTAATGAAAACAAAATCTATTTTTGAATGAGTCCAGTTTGTTCTGATAGTAATTAATTATATGGACAAATTATCACAAATGATAGAGAGAAGTTTGCACACATTTAATCCAAACTAAATCAAGTTTGTTGTTGGAGTCTAATATACGAAGGAATATTAACGCTGTTGTCTGCTGTATCAAGTTAAGACACCACTCACTAAGTGAAGGGACTTAAACTTCTAAGACAATAAACAACAAATATCACAAAGAAACATATGTATGTTGTGTCATCAATCATCATACGTACCCACATCACCAATGCTTTCATTTGGGGTACGTTTCTTTTAAAGTTCAAAACATCCATTTGGTAGTAATATGTTATATATCTGTCATCGTACAAATCATCTTATTATCATTTCATATTGGCCAGCTACTCATAAATCATCCTCTTATACAGAAAAGTCCTATAAACTAACACAAATATCCCTAATTAGAAGCATGATCCGTCACAGAAAAACTAATAATTAATCATATTTATTAAACATTTCTGGGAATATTCTGGCTGACATTCTTAACAGACTGGCCACAGAAAGAAAGCATTCTTAAAGCCACATATATATATATATACATTTCCAACATCGACTACATTAAGGATTATCACGTACGTGAATAACTTTATGATAGAATGAAAAAGAAGAAAGATATAAAAAGAGAAGAAAAAAATGTACAATAACTATAAAATAAAGAATGATTAAAGTTACTATATTTCTGTGGCCACTTCTCGCTATCAAATTCTCAACGTTAAGGTGATGCATGTAAATTATTATTATTTTTTCCTGTCTTTGTTAATTAGCAAGGAGTCATTAAAGAAGAGGATATTGTCGTTTGTGTATGACTACTACTACCAAGTAGTAAAGGACTCATGAGGCTATTAAAGCAGAGAATAGCTCAGATTATTGTCGTTAAAGAAGAGAATATTGTCGTTTTGTGTATGGCTACTACCTTATAGTAAAGGACGCAAGAGGCCATTGAAGCCGAGAATAGCTCGAATTGTCGTTTATATATGGCCATATAAGTAAAGGAACAGGCGTCGCCAACAGATAAATAAATAAATTAAAACCTTATTCGCTGGTGCACGTTTGAAATTCTTTTCAGACCATCTACTTATAATTATTCTTGTAACTTTTGTCTTATTTAAACCCTAATTTATAAATAAATACAAAAAAAAACTACTTTTTATTAAGAAAAATCTTGTATGAATAAGAATAACAAAACTCTTTCTCATAATGTTTAACTTATAAGTAAAAAGTAGTTTAAAAGAGGTTTTTAAAATCGGTTATTTTTTACTTTTAAAATCGGTTCCGTAACCGATTTTAAAAGTTAGACTTTTAAAATTGGTTAAATAACCGATTTTAAAAGTGTTGGTCAAGAAAAAAAAAATAAATTGGAACGGGCCGTTCCAGATTGTGAAATGCACGAATTGAAGAACGCAACTTAGAATGACCCGTTCTCCTTTCAGTACAGGGTCGTACTACAAGGAGAACGGGCCGTTCTCCTTGAAAAACGGGAAAGAGAACGGGTCGTTCTCCATGCAGTACGGCCCGTACTGCAAGGAGAACGGGTCGTTCTCCTTGCAGAACAGTCCGTTCCAGATTCAAAATTTACCCAAAATGAACTTACAACGAAAATAAAGACAAGAGAATTGCATAAAAAAACGAAAAGAGATACAAGAAGAGGAAAATGAAAACGAAAATGATAAAAAAATTTACCTCTTTAGAAAATGAGAGCGCGAGAGAGAGATTTAAAAAATGAATGGAGGGAAAGATTAAAGAGAATGAGATTGGAGGGAAATATTAAAGGTTTCTGACGAAACTTTTAAAATCAGTTATTTCAGCATACAAAATCGGTTCTGAAATAACCGATTTTAAAAGTAGCACTTTTAAGATCAGTCATAAAATAACCGATCTTAAAAGTTATGTCTGATACAACTTTTAAGATCGGTTCTTTTGTAACCGATCTTAAAAATTGTGTCAGACATAACTTTTAAGATCGGTTACAAAAGAACCAATCTTGAAAGTTAAGATTGGCTAAATTTGAATCGATCTTAAAAGTGTTCAAATTATTTACAAAATTGCCACCGCGTCACTTTTAAGATCGGTTATCTTATAACCGATCTTAAAATTCTGATTTTAAATCCAATTTTTGTACTAGATTATATGTCTAAAGTTTGAAATCGAAATTATTACTGGTTAAATTATAACAATTTTATAATGATTGATGTGCATGTTATGGTATATAATTTTGTTGGGATTTATAGAAAATGAACCGTACAAAAAAATACTAATACGTAGATATATTTTATATGTACGTCATAATATTAATTGAAGTGTATGCTTTGACATACATAGCCTTTTTAATTAATAATTGTCTTTTCGGAATAAAAAAATACTCTATAATAAAATTGGTAAAAAAAAATCATTTCTACAAAAAGTTGAACAAATTAATACATAAAAATTATAAAAATGTTAAATATTTTTATAATTTTTATATAGTGTGTATCATTACTCGATAGGGCATAATAATACTTAAGATTACAATGAAAGCCTATTAAAATATTATATACTTAGTAAAAAAAATTATGAAAAAGTGATCATTCATAATATTATTCAAGCCACTCACCTTTTTGAGTGAGATAAATATAAATTTATTTTTAATTAAGTAGTTTTTAAGTCAAAAATATTTCTTTAACTTAAGCTCGCGAAACATTATTATTATTTTTATATAAGTTTTTAATTGCTCGTATTGAGATACTGTATGAATATATTTGTAAAAGAGTTAAATATATATATATATATATTGATTTTGTTTTGATGAGCTCTTTAATGTTTTGCTTCACTCGTCCAATCGCTCCTTGAAATTACAAT